AGGCTAAAATTCTAAGCCAGTTTGCCTGGAAGTGAAAAGGTAAAGGTAAAGGTTCCCTTTGGCAATTAAGTCCACTGAAAATAAGGTTTAATTCTGAGTAAACAGGGTTAGGTTCAGACCCTGTATCTGGTTAATTTAAACCGCTTGCAATTACCATTTAATGGACTGCATTAAAGGTGATTTGCAGAGCAAAGGACCTTGTTTGTTCATTGTTTCATTAAACTATACCTTACTTAAAGGTGGTAAAAGGTAGGCAATTGAGAGGAGAGTAGGCAAAAGCCACAGCCATAAAAAAACAATAAAATACAAGTGGGACGTGCAACAAAGTGTTGCAGTGTAAAGTGCTCTCAATCTGCCATATCCTCTTCCAGGATGCTAATTTCTTTCCCTTTCCTGTGTGGTTTTCTGATCCCTTTCCCAGCAGTCCTTCAGGACTGTATGTCTGCTGATCTTGCTCTGTCCTCATTGCAGGGGAAGAGCAAGACGTTTTTCATTGGCAGAGCAGAGGGAAACTTAGGAAGGGCTGGAGGATTAGAAGATACAGTAGGTTATCATGGGGCAGAAAAAGAATTTTGACTGAGGCTGATGTTGCTATTATTTGCAAAATATTAATAATAGTATTTATATTGTGTTTTCAAGGAGGAAAAAGATGTTTTATCTCTCCCTGCTCATTTTAATAATAATTTGAATTTGAGCTGCCAAACTCACAAATTGCTAAAGTAACCAAACTGCCAAAGTAAACAAATTATATATAGAATTCGTGGCTCAAGTCTAGTTGTAAGTCACAGCTAGAGTAAGCCCATTGAATGAATGGGGATTTGGTGAGTCAAAACCTTGTCTAAGTTCCACCGATACAACAGACCTACTCTAGCTGTGACGTATGACTGGCTTTTAGCCAATATGTCATTCTAGTCTTTTCCCATTAATTCTGTTTTAGTAAGTTGAAAACCAGCCTGCTGGGTCAATTCATCTAGTGCTGCATTCTCTTGCCATCTGCTTATTGATGGAAGTGCCACTTTTTCAGCCAATATGTGTCTTTGCCCATGGCAAGCCTATATGAGGTGGAATTTGTAACCTGTGTACATTTTGCCACAATTCATTTCTGTTAAGCACCAGCTGTCTCATAATTATTTTCCTGAGATTCTCCTTATCAGAACCAAAGAGCTGCCCTAGTGCCAGTCTTTGCCATGCCAAAGAAGTACTGTACTGAAGAAGGTTCACTTTCAAATTAATTACAAACAGTAATCACAAGCAAATGTATGAAAGCACATCATATAGGAACTAGTCACTTGTGTGAAATACAGGCCCTAACGTTGCCTATGCAAGCATACATACAGGCTGAAATCCTGTTGCTTAATGTAGTAAGTCACAACTAGAGTACACCCATTGAATCAGTAGGGACTTGTTGAGTCTACAGTACTCCTCTGCAAATTCTGTTGGTTCAATAGACCTACTCTAGTTGTGAATTATTATGCTAATCAACGGGATTTCAGCTGCTCTGTTCTACAGAAAGGCCTTGCATCAGCCAGCTAACATTGCTTGCCATTAGTTCTACCAGCAAATTTACCTTTTGTTGGTAAACAAGAGTCTTAAGTTTGCTAAACAATTACAGACAAGATGAACTTCTGAGTATTCCAGAACTTTTTAACAAGGAAAGACGGCATCAAACTTGGCATTAAGGCAGAAATGCAACAGTTGGGTCAGATGTGATGCCTATGGGTGCTTCCCTTTCTCATGTTCATAACTTGAACATTGCTGGGATAGAACAAGGAATAAAGGTAAGTCTCTGGCTTGAAACATTGTCTTTACCTGCCTAGATTATGTAAAGAAATGAAACTACATGTGGCTTCCAAGGCACATGGTATTTATTATTGTGCTACAGTTCTAAATAAGTTAATTGGTATATCAACAAGAAACCAAAAGCAAAAAAGAGATGTTGTGACACTTTAAAGGCTAACTGTTACAGTGTTGTAAAGGTATGTTGGGTGTTCAAGGAGTTGTTTACCTTTGCCAATCCCCCTGCACCTCATGCATTTCTGTGATTGACCAAGGATTTGGGTCTAAATTGAATTGTCCAATTGTCCAAACAAAACACAGAAGGACTACTGTGATGTGAAAGGAAATAAGGCTATGTTGCTGCATATAATATTGTCAAGTCAGAATCAACTTATTGCAACCCTAATAGGACTTTCGGGGGAGGTGAGATACTTAAGGAGTGGTTTTACCTGTACTACTTCCCCAGTGAGTTTCCATGGCTGAGCTTAGACTTGAACCCTGGTGTCCAAAGTCCTAGTCCATTGCTCTATTCACTAGTCTAGGGGTTCCCAACCCCCAGTCTGCAGCCTAGACTTGAACCCTGGTGTCCAAACTCCTAGTCCATTGCTCTAGACTAGGGGTTCCCAACCCCCAGTCTGCAGCCCAGTACTGGGCTGTGGCCTTGGCAAGACTGGGTTGTGGAGACAAATCTGCCTCCCGCACACAGTCATGCACGCCCACCCACATGCACAGCCCACTCACTCACACGCACAGGTGCCCCGCCCACCTGCACATGCATGTAAGCACACCCGTCCATCCGTGAGTGTCCCCCACCCATCCACGCATGCATGCAAACACAACCTGCCCCACCACAAGCATGCACCATTCATCTGCGACTGTGCACCCTGCCCACCCGCGAGTGCAAGGGGGTGCCCCCCGGTCTGTGATTTGGAAATGTTGGGGACCACTGCACTAGACTACACCACACTGCATATTAGTACTCCAGTTACTGTTCCATTTATTTAGCCTAGTTCAGCTTTCAAGCATGATTCAAAATAGTGCCTGGATACTGACAATGGGATTCATACGCACTACATTTTCTTTTGGTAATAACTTCTAAAGGTTTGTTGCAATTCGAATATAAAAGCAAAAAAGGAAAGAAAAAAAAGAGAAACCTTACGAAAACACACCAATAGTTATTCACATGCCATGTGAATTTGTTGAACATTTTTTGTTTTGAAATCATAGTTCTTGTTAAATTTCACTATTCCAGCAAATGCTAACACAGTTGTTTAATTAATTTTTTCTGATAAAACAAAGTGAGAAGACATACAGTCAACTGCTAGAAAAAGATATCACTAGAAAGAAGGTAATATATTATTTTTAAATCTCCCATTCTCCTGCCCCTAAATTACTGTTCATTTCTATTACTCCAGTTGCTACTGACTGAAGCATTTTTTCCTACAACATTCTACATTATAAATAAATTGCATCAGCCAGCTTCTCTGGGGAAATAAGAGCAGCTGTTTGCCCTCAAATTAGAAAGAGATCATTAAGCAAAATCCTTGCTGGAGAATTGAATTTACTTCCGCATAGTGTTTTTGACTGTGGTAAAACTCAAGAGTAGGAGCCAAGTATCAAAGCAGCAGTTTTATAGCATTTCATCAGTCATATTTAGTCTGTCATACTGATATGCAAGATATTGATATGCAATGTCAATATACAGTAAATATTTATGTATGTAGCACTGGCAACACCACTGTATTAAAAACAGCAAAACAGTTTTGAAACTTTGGAAATAAGAAACTTGAAACTGAGAAGTGACAAGAGTGGAAAGGTACAAAACAGTTAATTGTGTGTGTTTGTGTGTAAAGGGAGCTACTGGTGGTTGGACAACCAAAGAAGTTAAATCAACAATAAAGTAAGATGTAAAGTAAGGGGAGTTACTTCGCTTGACTTTTGAGCAAACTGAAAATTTAACATACACTTGGCCTGATCCAGCCAATGACAGTCACATGACAAATAGGGTTTCTATATGTGTTTTACCCTGATGGTGATATAAAAGGCTGCTGAGATATAGGAGCCTCAACCCAACAATCTTATTGCTAGTATGGTACATTCCAAACATACTCCAAACAGATGCCTGTCAAAGTAACAATCAACATCTTGGATGAGTTATGGGCTATGGGACTCATCTCAGGCAGTCTTTTTTGCTTTCCAGCTCCCTGATGCTTCTTCTGACACTGGCTAGCTGCTAGTGGCAGAATCCCTTTGTTCAAGATATTTCATTGCATGCATTCCTAAAATAGATACTATATTTGTAGTTAAACAAAAGTTCATGGCCAAGGTTGAAAATCTTCTTAGTAAACACGTAGAATCATGTTTTAAAAACTGGTTTATTTGCCTCCTAATCCTACAGATAAATTCACTGCAGTCGTAGACTATCTTTTCATATGACCAAATGGTAACAAGAGCCTGTATTTAGCTTGGCTCCTTTTCCTCTGAATTCCTTTACTATACATAGCTCAGCAGTCATGCATATCTTAACAACACTTGAAAGGAGGCAGTCTTACTTAAACAGCTGCTCTTCTCCCCAGAAAGCAAAACACTGAAATATTTAGAGCAACACATGTAACCAGTCGTCACTGGAAGCAGAAAAAATAACTTTGAAGACCAATTTTTAGTTGCAATATACAACTTGCCTCTGTATCTCACAATGCAAAAGACTAATTTATTTTGGACTGTGCAGCCATTGTTCAGTTGAAAAGTCAAAGTGCTGTGTCACCTTTTTCAAGAGAAGGAACAATTGCAGGGCAAACTTCAAAGAAATCGCCATCTAAGATGCTGAGATTGCAAATAAAGGATTTCTTTGGATCACAGCTGCAAAATTAATAAATGCTTCTTTTCCAGGTATTAAATTACAAAGTGGCGCAGCTTTTGCCCTTTGCCTCTTAAAATCACTTCCAACTTCCACCTTATTTTACAGAGCTTTCTATCCACACATTCCTCCAAATCCATCTTGTATATCTTTTCAAGACCTGCTGGATCAGTTTTTGCTATGAATGTGTGTGTGTATATATGCAGCTGTTGGGAGCAGATACAGCTCTTCACATCAAACAGTCAGGCTCAATACACTGAGTAAAATATGCAGAAGCTTGCCTTTATCTTCATTGTAAACATACCTCAGCACGCACGGCACAAAAGCACAGGATTGTTCAAGTTATGTTGAAACAAGAGTGCCTCACCAGTAAAAATTCATTTCTTGCCAGAGGTCTTGGTTTCAATCACCAAAATGCCATCATGGCAGAAGAGTGCAGAGAGATCTTTTGTTTCAACTCCATCTGGCAATTTGTATTGTCGGGTAAAGCTTCTGGCTATGAAGCCATGCTCATCCATCCTAGGTCCATGCTGAGCTTTGACCAGCAGCCAGCCTTCAAAGGTTTGGATGATAATGTCTTCTGGACGGAACTGCACAACATCCAGTAAGACCTGGAATTTGGACTTTTCTTCATGTGTGCTGTTCTGCTGTGTTTCAGTTGCTTGCTTGCGAGGGTGAACGCCTTCGAGAATACATGCTTGCATATTCTTTGTCTGTGCAGCTGTGGCAGGGCCTGGCAAGGCATAGAGAGAGTGATTCCCCTTGCATGCTTCCAAATCTTGATGGGCAAAATATTCTTGATAACGTACTGGCGTTTCCACCCAATGCCGTATAACTCCTCCTCCTTCCATGGCAGAAATAATATAGATAACCTGCTGCTTTCTTTTCTTCAGCTGCAACAGAGCGATCTCCTGTGTGGGATAGTGCACCCTTTCCAGTTATACACTCACTTATAAAGGAGTTTATCAGTTGAGGTAGCCTCTCATTTTTAGCTCTGGCACAGCCTATCACTACACTGGGTGTGACTCAAGTTCATGAGATACGCTGCATCTTTTGACATGCTGACAATTGAGCACTATTTATAGGACTCCAGCCTGAGCAGCTTTGGACGTTTTCATTTTCATTACTTGTTATGACATGTTACACTTCGTCTTTTTTGTTGTTATGACTATATATCATATATGGCAGGACATAACACAGTTTGCTATTGCCCCGTGAAACTCTGGAAAAGACAGTGTAGTGAACTGTGATACTGATCTGCTTTGACAGTCTGACACTGAAATGCACGATATGATTGCTGAGTTGTGATCCATTATTGTGATCCATTAACTCAGTTTTGCCCTCTCAAGATTCTCTCAAGCCTAGTATGTAAACATTGCTATTATCTTTGAGTTCCTGGGGAAAATACCTTGCTTCACTATTGTGCCACAATACTAAAGAGACAATGGGAATACTGCAAGACTGAGCTTGGACATGTTCCTTTTCTTGACAACAACTTCCAGAATTTCTAGTGCCTCCACTGTTGTTTATGAAGAAACAATGGATTGTTCCATTTGTTGTAATGGAGAATGCAGGGGTCTGTTCTACAGTATGGCTGCAGCTCGACTTGGTTGCTTTCCCCATTTGTAATGATTGGACCAGAAGTAGAGAGATCTTTGCAGACAAGTCTTTAATAGAAACTTAACATCTTAAAGTAAAAAATGAATGTGAAGCCAGAGTATTCACAGAATACTATAAAGATCGGCTCACTTTTGGCAGATAGCATGTTATTTCAAAAGCTTTTAAGGAGGACAGTCAACAGGAGTATCATCAGGCTGTACCTCTCATTCTGGTGCTGCATGGTAGCTTGAAGTTTTAGTCTACATTTCCTTTTCTTAATCCCAGACATGAAAGTGATGGCTCTGATGACTTCAGCTAACGTGCTGCCCCGAGGCTCAGAAATTCTTGAAACCAAGGTTGTCCTCTGGACATTATGAACAGGCATGTGATACTAGTGGATAGGTATCATAAGTACTGTATAGTTTGCATTATAGAGCACTTCAGAAAATTCAAAGTGCTTCATATACTTCATTTCACTAATCCTTGAATCAAATCTGTAAGGCAGCTTTATATTTCAACATAATAGCAACATGGCAGGAAGAGGTGCAGTTGGGGTTAAGACCAGTTATTATTTCTAAGTCCACATAATGGGTTTTTGGCAGTGGCAGTATCTGAATATGGGCCTTTACAATTAGTTTATCCAACAGCACTCTCATCTCTTTAAATATATGAATAAGAATAGAATGATAAAGTGAGTACTTTGAGGTTAATGTCTCATTTTACATGGTAGTATATTTGAGTTTGGTATTACATATAGTAACATAATTAATCATGACAATAATTAAAGGTATTACAATTGTCATAACAATCAATAATCATTACTCCTACAGTGGCTGAAGTCCAATAGTAAGATACAACTAGAGTAGGCCCACTAAACAATGGAAATTCCATAGGTGCTAACTCACCAAATTCCCACTGATTCAATAGGCTTACTGTTAGATTTCAGGCACCATGAAATCATGTATGCCATAAATAGGTTTACATTTAAATGTAATCTGTAAAGCACATGGGTATTCCACCTGTTTTAGATGCCTTTTTATGATATGGCCTGTGCTGAAAAAGAGCTCTTGTTAAGATAACAACAGGTTTGCCTTTTGCACATTAATAACCTCACAGCAAATACATTTCCTTCTTTGCAAGACCGGATTCCCTTTGCTAACTAAAGGTTGGACAGTCACCATGGAGATGTAGCTGAAAATATCCCCAGCACACATCCTTATCACTGGATGCAACATTATGAGTTAGATTGTGAGGTCCTTTTGCCCTGGTCGGTGACTACCAAGACTATAGAGTGAGGGACTGAGATCTTCTTTATGGCAGCTGTTCAGATGGTACATCACTCTTTGGAATACAGATCACTCAGTAGTAAGTAAGAATTTTATTTGTGTATAGTCTTCTGATTGTTACATACATAAACAACATGTCTGTGTACAGAGTGACTCATACATCGGCTATCACTTTAAAACTCCTCCTCGCAGGAAATAGCATTACGATTCAGAAACTTCTTTTCTGGTACAAATTGCTACAGATGAAAAACCTTCAGCCTTCATGGTGACTAGCCCGTCTTGTGCACACAATTAAAAAATTATGATCTCATTGATGTTGCTTCTCTTGTACTTCCCTAAGATATGGGCCAGATTTTTTCACCCTACATATACTTCACCCTATCTTAACCCATAAGGATAACTATGGGTTAAGAATGATGCTATTCCCAAATCTTCCTCCCAACTATAACTCTATTTCACATAAAGATAATACAAAAATAAAATGAAACAGGACTCGAAATGGAAAATGAGAAGAAATGCCTATGCGTGCTGTGTACACAGTCCAAAGTCATATCCAGGTCTTAACACATGCATCAGAATGACTATGCAGAATTTTTCCATCTGGTCTGCACCTCTTCACACATTTGCTTGTGCAACGAATGTCACAATCCGTGTTTGCTTGTTCTGTTCATGTGAAAGAGAACCCGTTAGAGAGCCTGCAGGTATGTAAGCAAACAAGAGTCCTTCATGAAACTTTATAAGATAAAGATAGGGTACAACCCCAATTATCCGGATTAAACATTTAAGCAGATATCAAAACCTCTGCATGTCAGAAATACTACAACTGAGTCAAGCACAATTAACATTTCTTTTCATTCTAAGTGGTGGAAATGAATGTTTATTTTCAGCAACCCAGACCTGCTCCCTGGTGTATGATGTTGGTACTACATCCCCAATATATCAACAATGCTTTTGAAAAAGCAGTTCGTTTTATTGCTACAGACCAAGGTTTTCAGCACAAAAGCACAGATATAATCCAGATTACAATTCAGTTCTGCAGCTAAAAACAGTCCCCTCCCCCCAATTAATATAAAAGGCAGCAGCTCAAACAAGGCTGCTGGCTAAGATCTGTGCTTCACTTTTATTCCCTCTTTTCCTAAAGCATAGTTATTCTGCAGACAAATTTTACAGAATTAAGGGAATCCCCTCTCTAGGGAGCCAAATGGATTTGCTGAAGTGCTCAAACATCCCTGAAGTCAATAATGCACATATCTGATTAATGAGATCAATTTACAATGAGATAATCAAGATTCCATTCTACAAAAACATTACAGATGTGAAATGCAGCACAAGGCTTAAAGAGCTTGTTAGAATATTTGAAAGACCAAGTGTGGCTCTGGTTGCATGAGGGAAATATTCTCTCATTATCCCTCAGTTAATGTGTTGCTTTATTTCCTGGTCACACGATGCACAGTCAAGTTTGAGACATTTTCCCCACCAGTGGCGTAACTGTGGAACATTTCCCCATCACCAGGAGGGCTATGTTATTTTGTACCTTTGTTGTACCAATGCATACCTTACCGGGATTGCCTGTGTGCTTTGATTTTCAGAATCAAAGCCAGGATGGTGGCTGCCATTATTGTGGCATACATATTGATTCTTTTTTTTTTTAATTTTGTGTGTGTGTGATACATCGATACATTGATAAAAGTATGTCACCGGGGGGGGGCACCACTGTTACATTACTGGTAAGTAATATTTTTAAAATTTCTATGGGAAGATACATTGAACTGCTGGTATGCCAGTGTCACTGGAGGGCAGGGGAATCACCAGTACTGCTGTGTGGATATCCCATGTCCATTGTGTGCAATGCATTTCTGAAGGAGAAAGTGGTGCAACAGAGGACACGTTCCTAAACAGAAATCCCTTCTTGATCAGTGTTCCCTCCAATCTGCAGCTCCACTGGGCAGGGCTCCACACCTCTGTGCACGGGTTTGCCCTGTCCTGTGTGTGAGTCAGTCCCTTTGTACCGGGTTCTGTTGCAAGCAAAAGGGACTGGAAATGATTGCGGGAGATGGAAGGGGAAGGAGGAAAGCCATGCAGAGTCGGGCAGAGTCATACACAGTCTTGCACGTTAGAGGTAAATTTGTTCCTGATATATTGATTTATCAATAAATATTATCTATCTATCTGTCTGTCTGTCTGTCCGTCCGTCCGTCCGTCCGTCCAGCTGATATGCTAGGGGCTAAAATGCCCCTTGAAGCAAGAGAGAAAATAACCCAGTACCATGGAATAGCTGGCAAAAATAATTCAAATAAAACAAAATTAATTGGTACAGCTAAAAGTTCTTGGGATGTTCATCCCAGGATATAAACCACATGACCACGATTCACTACAACAGAGCTATAGAAAGTATTGGAAGAACTAGAAAACATTCCCCTCATGTCACCAAGGTCTAAGATGGATCAAAGGCATTTAGCAGAAGGAGTTGAAGGATATAATATGGCATTGAAATCAATAGAAACTCTGGGAAAGATGCTGCAGAAACAGATGTATTTACTTACTCATTTTCTTACTTACAGTATTTGATTTACATACTGCTCCATTAGTGCAGTTACTGGGGGTCACGAAGAGTCGGACACAACTTAACGACTAAACAACAACAAACATTAATGCAAGCACTACTCCAGACAGGTTAGGCATCCTTCAGTCTTGAGAGACTATGGTAACGTGCTCTGTATGGAGGACTTGGAACAGCGTCTAGTGTGGCTGAGAAGGCCAATTCGAGAGTGACAATCCCTTCCACACTGAAGACAAATACAACATGTCCCCTGTCCAGCTCCCTGATTTTGCTGCTTCCAGGACTGCCTCTTTGCCTCGGCCTGCTGGACAAGGGTCTCTTCAAATTGGGAGAGGCTGTGATGCAACGCCTGCCTCCAGGCTGAACGCTCCGATGTCAGGGTTTCCCATCTGTTGAGGTCCATTCCTAAGGCCTTCAGATCCCGCTTGCAGATATTCTTCTATCACGGCTGTGGTCTCCATCTGCAGTGCTTTCCATACTAATTCTCCATACAGGAGATCTTTTGGAATCCGACCATTGGCCATACTCTCAACTTGCCCAAGCCAAAGTAGACATCGCTGTTTCAGTAATGTATCCATGCTAGAAATTCCAGCTGATTCTAGGACTACTCTATTTGGATCTTTGTCCTGCCAGGTGACACAAAAAATCCATCAGAGGCAACGCATATGGAAGGTGTTCAGCTTCCTCTCCTGCCGTCCACAAAGGGTCCAGGACTCACTGCAGTACAGGAGTGTGCTCAGGACAGAGGCTCTATAGACCTGGATCTTGGTATATGCCGTCAGCTTCTTATTAAGCCATACTCTCTTTGTGAGTCTTGAGAACATGGTAGCTGCTTTGCCAATGCGTTTATCTAGCTCAGCATCTAGAGAGTGTGTGTCAGCGATTGTTGAGCCAAGGTACACAAAGTCATGAACAACCTCCAATTCTTGCATGGAGATGGTAATAGAGGGAGGTGAGTCCACACCCTGGCCCATGACTTGTGTTTTCTTCAGGCTGATTGTTAGTCCGAAGTCTTGGGCAGGCCTTGCTAAAATGATTCATGAGTTGTTGGAGGTCTCCAGCTCCAGACAGTTTACAGGTTAAAACATAAAACCCCACAAAATCCCAAATAGATAAACAGGACTCAGATTTACATACAGACACAGCAGCAGCTTCACCACCCACGTTTCATACCAAATCAGAGGAACATGTTTGTAACATTTTGCACGTTGCATTTGGGGCATTACTTCCACATTCTAGAATGTGTTATCTGCTATGTGAAATGGGGGAGGGGTGTAGCAAGAACAGAGGTGCCAGGAACTTGACCTATTATTTCCAAATACTGTACATCTCTAAGAAAAAAAATGTGCTATACTGACACCATGTGGTTTGTCAACACAAGCACATACAATATTCCAGCATAGGCCAGAAACAGACACTGGAAGTATTGTGTAATTAGAGCTGAAAGTACTTCCATGTTCCAGAAACAATTAAGGTAGTCTTTTTGGATTTATGAAATCAGACTTCAAAGACCAGTCACCAAACAAACATGCAAACAGCTAAGTGAAATAAGCTCCTACTGCGACTCTCAGGCACTTTTATTTATAAGTATTGTCCCCTTCCAATCACAGGCGAATGTGAAATTAAATCATTTTCTCTTTAAAGAATGCTATACATAATGATGCTGTTCCAGTGGTTAGTCTAACTTTCTACCCATCTATCCACAGTATCTGTCTATGTATATGTCTATTTGCCTTTTACAAATTTATATGAGCTTTGGAAATAGAAATGGGCAAGATTACTAATAATGATTTTCAAGTAAGCCGCAAATTTAGGACAGTGCTGTACTTTCATGCAGTTACTTCTCAAGGGAAAAAGAGTCCTGTGAAGCACAGCGTTAATTCCAAGGAAGATTGAGGGAGGAGATAATAGTATTTATGATTTAACCAGAGCTTGAAGAAGTTACTTTTTTTACTGCAGATCCTAGACTCCTTCAGCCAACATCACTAGTGGCAACACTAGCTGGGGATTCTAGGATTTTCAATCCATAACAGCAATTTCCTCAAACTCTAAATTTAAATTTGCTTAGAATGAAGGAGGCGTCTCCGTAGGTGTGCAGAGATGAAGTTCCTCACTGCTAACCTGTGAGTAGGAACTGATTAGCCGAGGGACTTTGTTCCTGGCCTGCGAAATGTACCTCGTAAACTGCCATCACTCTGTATGTTCTTAGAAGTGGTGGGGCAACCCTGGCTTTCTTATCAAGGATGAGTGACAGAGATGTGTGCTTAGTAGCAGGCTAGCCATAGGGACATCTCTTAGTTGTAGAAAGAGTTTTAAAATATGGTGGCAATACTTCTGGTATTTAAATTCTTAATTGTTTATTTTTGGACATGAGATTCAAAGACAGAGAGATGCAAAAAGAGAGAACAATGGGATGGTTGATCAGGAAGAGGCAATGGAAATTTAAGATAGGCAGTCAATGAATTATCTTCGGTCTGCAGTGTAAAATGTACAAATTCTAGAGCAGCAGACTATCAATGCATATATAAAACTACAAACGGCAGAATGAAATTCCTTGATTGGTATGCACACATTTACTTCTGTTACTAATACTGTATTTAATACCAAGAACATGTTCAGAGTACTCCAACCCAAATTTTGAGATTCCCACATAGGGTCTGACCCACATTGGCCATTTTGATGTCTATCTCCCTACCTATTTAAAGTGCAAATGTGTATCTGCTTCTGTCCGTGTTTTGGTTGATGCAATTTTTTCCCTGTTTTCTTCATCTCCCACCTCCTCCCAATTGTGTCACCTGCAACAGGAGACTTTATGCGCAGCGCCAGCAATGTGCAGATCCAATTCAAGATACTATTTTTACCCTTAAAAGTCTTAGTGGCATGGATGATGTATGTGGTGGGAAGGGCTACCCTACACATTTGAGCCCCTCCAAGGAAGGTCTGCTTTGGGTTCCTTGATATGGCCAATCGTCAACAGCACGCAGCACACCATTACAGCAGTGACCCAATCTACTTCGGAACAACACATCCCCAAAGAACACTTCTTCCTACTCTTTGTCTACTTAAAAATATACTATGAAAACTTTTGCTGGTCATTTATGACCAGTTAAAATGATTCCACTTAGCTAAGATGTG